GGGACGTGTATGCGCACAACGTGGGAGACGTGTGGACCGGCTGCAGCGGCGGGTGCGCGACCCGCGGGCGGGCTACGTGCAGAGCCTGGAGGTGCTGCGGGCGGCCAAGGCCTGCGGCGTGTACACCAAGTCATCCATCATGCTGGGCCTGGGTGAGGGTTGGGGGGCATGGGGCGGCGGTGGCGCGGTGGTGGCGCGGAGCGGCGCGGCGGGGCGGGGCGGGGTGCAGCGTGGCGTGCGGGACGGCAGGGAGAGGCACGCCTTGCGGACCAGCAGCCGCAGAACGGTGCCCCCGCGCCTGCCGGCGCCCTCTCTACCCCTGCGGCCCTCCCGGTGCCCTCGGCACTGCCTGCTCCACACACCCCGTGCCTTTCCCTCTGCCCCCGGCCCGCGCAGGCGAGAGCGACGAGGAGGTGGTTGACACGATGCTGGACCTGCGGGATGCGGGGGTGGACATCCTCACGCTGGGACAGTACCTGCAGCCCACGCAGCACCACCTGCCCGTCGCCGAGTTTGTGACCCCGGAGAAGTTTGAGCACTGGTGGGAGCATGGCGGGGGGAGGAGGGAGGGCAGGTTGTGTGTGTGTGGGGGGGGGGGTGCATGCTGCGGGAGCCAGCCAGCTGCACAGAGGCCGGAGAGCCTTGCACGCCTGTGGCTGGAACTCCCCCCCCAACGAGCGCGCGCGCCTCCCGGCGCCGTCCCCGCCGCAGGCGCAAGTACGGCGAGGAGGTGATTGGGTTCCGCTACGTGGCGTCGGGCCCCCTGGTGCGCTCCTCGTACCGCGCGGGGGAATTCTTCACAGAGGCGATGATCAAGGGGGACCGCGGGCAGCAGGCGCAGCAGGCACAGCAGGCGCAGCAGGCGCAGCAGGCACAGCAGCAGGCGGTGCTGGAGGTGGGCGGCGTGCAGGTGCCGGTGCCCGAGCTGTGAACGAGGGGCCTGCCTCCTGCCGATTCTGGGGAAGAATGTTTGGTTACACGGGTGCACACACACAATGTACACAAGCTACGCAAGCACACCAAAGGAGTTGTTTGCTGCTTGAAGAGCATGAATGCTGCAAGCGGTGCAGTTCGATTGGATGAAAAGTCAGCCCGTGCTGTTGGTGGGCAGAGGTGAGCAGCTGGCGAGCGCTGTGTGAATGAATGGTGGGCCAAAACAGTGAGGTGGAAGTGCTTGACCTCCGGGGCAGCTCTAATGGGGTTGGAGAAACTGCCAGACAATGCAGTGGTTCAGGTCGGTTTGGTGGAGCGGGCGGTGGCAGTTCCGCGGGCAATGCCTGCGCTGGCTTGCCACAGCCGCCGGCATGCCTCGCCCGCTGCGGCAGTGCGCTGTGGTGAGGCCCAGCGCTCAGGGCCCCTCCTGTGTGGAAGTGGTGCGCTTGCGCAGGCCGCCGCCGCCGCCGGTGGTGGAGCGGCGGAAGCTGGCGGGCGCCGCCGCCGACAGCGCCTCCCCCGGCGGCAGCAGGGTCACCGCCACCGCGTCGCCCTGCTCGCCCTGGCTGGCGCCGGCGCCGCTGCCCGCCGCCTGGGCGCCTGCGCCGGCGCTGTAGCCGCCGCCCCACACGTCCGACTCGGGCTGGGGCGCCGTGCCAATCACAAACGCGTCCTGCCCGGCCTGCTGGCGCTGCGCCGCCGCCGCCGCCGCCGCCTTGGAGTCGATCACATCCATCCTGCTCCCGCGCCGCTCGCCGCCCTCCTGCTTGGCGGCCAGCGCATCCGTCCCAGCGGCCTGCTCCCCCGCCGCCGCCTCCTCCGCCTCCTCCTCCGTGTCTGACGGCGTGTAGTCGCGCTCGGGCGGCACAAACACCGACTTGCTGCCGTTGGCGAGCTGCAGGCGTCCGGGGCAGTGGGGCAGCCAGGCGGGGGGCGCGCTGTGTGGTGGAGCCAGTGTGGAATAGAGCTGGTGAATTTCCATGGCAGGAGGCGGCCCAGCAGGGCGGCAGGTAGGCACTCGCCCCCGGCCACCCCTCGCCTCACCCGGTACAGCGCATCTGCCATGGCCGCCTCGTGTCCGCCCAGGCGCAGCCGCTTGGCGGTGCTCTTCTGGATCTTGGCCAGCTCCTTCTTGCGCAGCTTGGCGTACCTGGAAGGGGGAGGCAGGCGGGCAGGCAGGCAGGGGGCGGCGCATGGCCTTGCTGGCACGGCACAGCACGCCGCACATGCATGCGCACCCTGCCAGCCCGCCGCCCGCCGCCTCCATCCAGCCGGCCCCACCCAGCCAGCTCCAGCATCTGGCCCCTGCCGGCTCCCCACCACCCCCACCCCACCACTCTTCCTCGGGCTCCTCACTTGGAGAACTTGAGGTAGATGAGGGCCGGGAACAGCTGGAGCCAGGAGGAGACGGGGAAGGCGACCACCAGCAGCCAGTAGAGCACCTCCTTGGCGGTGGCCACGCCGCGCAGCACCAGCGCCACCTTCCACGTCGGCTCCCAGTACAGCACCACCGTGTTCAGGGGCACTGCACAGGCATGGGGCGGTCGGGAGGCGGGCGGGAGGCAGGCGGGCATGGTGGCGAGAGGCCTGGCTGCTGGCATGAGGGTGTCAAATCAAGCACGTGTGCCCCAGCAAGCGCGTGTGCCCCAGCAGCATCAAGCCTGTGCCCATCCACCCACGATGCCACACTGCCGTGGCACGCCACCGGGCACCACCACCACCTGCACGCCGCCGCCACCTGCCCCCCGCCACCCCGCCGCCACCCACCCAGCACAAAGTCTGCGTCCATGCCCAGCGCGCGCCCCAGCGGGGTGCCCTGGCTGCCGTTGGCCACCCACAGGCTGGGGTAGGCCACGTCAGTGCGGGTCACCAGCTGGCTCCACTGGAACGTCTTGTGGCCGTGGATGGACATGCCGGTGTTGGGCTCCACGGAGAAGTACCAGCCGTGGGCGGCAAAGTTGGAGTCCCAGTCGGCCCGGCCTGCGGGGAGGGGAGGCGCCAGGGCAGGGCTGATGAAGGGAGACAGGCAGGTGGACAGTTTAGGTGGCAGGGCAGGGCTGTTTGGGAGAGGCAGGCAGGCCGACAGTTCAGGCTAGGTGGCATGGTAGGGAGGAGTTGGGGGCGGGCGGGGATGTGGAGGAGGTGAGCAGCCGCCCCCGGGGCAGCGGGGGGTGCCCACAGGGCAGAGGTGGGGGAGGCGGCTGGGCAGCCCACCCGTGGCGTTGATCACTTCCTCGCTGCTGCGGTAGTAGCGAGCCAGGCTGATGATCGTGGGGCAGCCGTAGACGTCTGCGGCCAGAGCACACAGCTCAGCAGTGGATTGTGTTGGTTGCAGCGTGGCAAGCGAGGGTGGGGCGAGGGCGGCAGGCACGGGGCGCCCAGCAGGCGGCAGGGCACAGGCGGGCGGCCGCACACCCGACAAGTCCCAGGCAAAGGGGATGGGCTCGGGGTTGGTGCAGCGTGCCAGCCAGGCGCCCTGGTCAGCCCCAAAGTACTTGTCTAGAGGCCCCAGGTCGGTGCCGTTGAAGTAGGTGGTCAGGGCTGCGGGCGGCGGGGAGCGGCGCAGCGCAGGGGGGACTGGGGAGCCGAGGGGGCACCGTCGCGGCAGGGCTGTGCTTCCACCAGCAGGCACGGCAGCCTGGCGTGGCTGGCTGCCCTGCACCCCGCAGCACGCAGCACTCCAGCACGCCCTCCCACCCACCCTCCTCATCCTGCATGAGCTGCCAGTAGGCGGCGGGGGAGTCCTGCTTGAGGGCGGTCAGGGCGGCCATGGTGGCTGCACGCATCCAGAGAGGGAGGAGGGGGCGGCGAGTCTGCAGGTGGCGCCCTGTTTCCGGCTGCCATGCGCTCTGCCCTGTGTCGCCAGCACAGGCGCCGCCAAGCACCACAAGCAGCTCTGCACCAGCGGACAGCAGCCCAGGCGAGGCCCAGCAGCGCCTGCACACCAAGACCGCCACGCTGGCCCCGGCGCCGCCAGCCGGCGCCGCCCGCCCGCCCACCCACCCACCCTGGAATGCCTGCTCGTCAAAGCCGGTGGCGGCCTTCCACTCCTCATATTGCGTGGCGTTGCACTCGCCATACGATTCGGGGTGCAGCGTCATCTGGTAGGCACGCACCTTCTTCACGCGGATGTAGCTCTCTGCGGCACGTGGAGCAGGCAGGCGAGGCAGGGCAGCGTGGGGAAAGGTGACGAGCGCCCGCTGCCCCGACAAAATAGGCCGTGGGTGGCAACCCGCACAGGAGCGGGGCCTGACCCCCCCCTGAAACAGCGCAGCGCAGCCCAGCGCGGCCCAGCGCAGCGCAGCAGCGACCCGTCGGGCGGCCACCTTTCCCACCGCCCCCAGGCCCCCGCACCCGTGGACACGGTCTTGACTGAGCGCATGAGTGAGGACTCGAACTGGATGGGCTCCCTGCCCCTGCTGGGCTTGAAGTTGGAGCCCTGGATGATACCCTCGTTGATGCCGGTGGCGTTGAGGATGCCGTAGGGCTTGGTGTAGAAGGGGATGCCGCGGTACTGCAGCGCCTGCGGTACCGCAACACGTGGCGGGGGAAGAGAGGCAGGGCGGGGCACAGGGGGCAGGTGAGCGGGGACAGTCATGCACCCATGGCGTGCCGGGTGCCCCCTAGCTGCAGGCAGGCAGCCCCCGAGCCTGTGAGTCGCGCCAGCAGCGCCCCGGCCGCTGCCCGCCTGCCCTGCCTGCCCGCTCGCCTCCCGCCTCCCCTGGCCCACCCACCGACTGCGGCCAGTCTCCCTTGCGCTTGCCGGTGACGATGCGCTTGTGCTGGATGCGGGGCTCAAAGGCGGCCACGTCGGTGGACTTGTAGCTGAGCATGGAGAAGGTGTAGTTGGCGCCCGTCACTGTGGTGCGCAGGGCAGGCAGGCAGGGGGTGCGGCAGGCAGGAGGTGCCGGCGTGAGTGGTGCGGGCATGAGTAGTGTGGGCGTGAGTGTGTGCGTGGTGTTGTGGTGTGTGGTGGCAAGGGGAGGGGGGCGGTGGAGGCGGGGCCCGCCCCAGCCCTCCCAGGCCGGGGGCCCGCCACCCTCCCCGCCACCTGTCCCGCCTGTCCTCTGCTCCGCCTGCCGCCTGCCCCGCCCGCACCGCCGCCACGCCCCCCGCCTGCCCAGGCCCGCGCCCACCGTTTGCAAAGTACTCCACAGGGTATGCCTCTGTCTGGAAGGAGAGGGATGTGTAGGGGCTGTACATGTAGGGCGCCAGGCGGTAGTACTGAGGGTTGCTCAGCTGGGCGGAGGTCACCAGGATGGGGTCCTCGTAGCCTGAAGGGGGGGGGCGGCGCGGGGCGAGGTGGGATGGCGGTGTGGAGGAGGTGGCAGGCCGGGGCAGCCGGCAGGGCAGTCGGTCGGTGCCCCGTCTGATGGCAACCGAGGCCGGGCATGCGGCCAAGGGGCCTGCCTCCCGCGGTGCATGCGCATGGCAGCGGCAGCGCCCCAGCGACGCTCTCCACACACAGGCACGCCCACGCGCGCGCGCGCGCGCACAAACTGCACACACACAGCACGTGTTTGCCGTGCCTGCGCCCCGCCCCGCCACGCCCGCTCACCATACAGCAGCTGCTCCACGGTGCGGGTGACCACCAGGCCGCCCGCCCCCGGCCCCGCCTGCCCCACGTGTATCCATGTGGTGTACACCAGCTTGCCCCAGCTGGGCAGCAGGCTGATGAGGTAGAGCTGCAGGGAGCGGAACTGGAGGTCGGTGAGGGAGGCCATGTCGGCGGCCTGCCCCGCGGACGCGCCGCCCTGAGCGCCCAGCCACGCCAGCGCGGCGGCCTTGCTGGGTGCCATCATGAAGGTCTGGATCACGCTCTGGGCAAAGGGGTCGCTGGAGCTGCATGGGAGGAAAGGAGGGAGGGAGGGAGGGGGCTGGGGGAGGGAGGAGGCTGCTGGGTAGGGAAGGGCAGGGCCGCGGCGCCGGCAGCTGCCGCTGCCCCGTTCCCCAGCGTCGGCCCTGCCCCGACCCCCCCGCCACAGCGCTGTTCTGCTTGCGGGGCAAGGTGTCTGTCTGGCGCCCCCAGGCAAGCAGGCGCGTGGGGCAGGCAGACGCGCGGTCTGGCAGGCGGGCGGGCGCTCCAGCAGCCCCCTCACGTGGCGCTGCTTGCCCCCGCCACCGCCCCCAGGAATGCGGTGGCCGCCGGCTGGGAGATGACCAGGCCCAGCTCGGGCAGCATGGCGGGGGTGACGGCAAAGCTGAAGCCCAGGGAGTCGGCGTTGGCGGTGAGGAACGCGCAGAACTCGGGGGCGTGCGGGAAGGCGCCGGGGCCCACGGGCAGCGCGGCGCCGCCCTACGGGGACGGGGCAGCGCCCAGGGGCAAAGGCCGCCTCGTGGTAAGTGCCAGCAGCAGCAGGCGGGCCGCGGCGGCGCTCGGGCCGTGGCAGGGCGCGAGGCGCGCCAACGGGTGGAGCAAGCAGGCGGCGCGGCGCGGGCCACCCACCAGCACGGAGCAGTCGGTCCACTGCTGGATGGCCAGCGCGCCGGCCATGCCCACCGCCTGCGCCTGCACGTCTGCCGGCAGCGGCTGGTCGGGCGGCAGGCCTGCCAGCGCGGGGTCGGCCCTGAAGCCCGCCTCCACCTGTGGCAGCATGGCCTGGTACGTCACCACATCCAGCATCGTGCGCACAGCCAGCGGCAGCAGCGTGTACACCATCGCCTGCTCGGGGGTGGGCGCAGCCATGGCCGTCCAGCGTGCGGCCACGCGCTGCGGCGGGGGCAGGGGGAGGAGAGTGGGATGGTGGGAGGGGGGAGGGTGGCAGGGCAACACCTTGGGGAGGAGCAGCAGGCACGCATGGCAGCATGGCAACATGGCAGCATGGCAGCATGGCCCCAGCCCCCACGCCGCGCTCTGCCCCGACATTGCCCGCCTGCCCCGCCCGGCCGCTGTGTGTGTGGCCCATGCCGCCCTCCCTCCTTTCCTCCCTCCCTCTCCTCCTTTCCTCCCTCACNTGCACCTCCTTTCCTCCCTCCCTCTCCTCCTTTCCTCCCTCACNTGCACCTCCTTTCCTCCNTCACCTGCACCTCCTTTCCTCCCTCCCTCTCCTCCTTTCCTCCCTCACCTGCACCTCCTTTCCTCCCTCACCTGCACCTCCTTTCCTCCCTCACCTGCACCTCCTTTCCTCCCTCCCTCTCCTCCTTTCCTCCCTCACCTGCACCTCCTTTCCTCCCTCACCTGCACCTCCTTTCCTCCCTCACCTGCACCTCCGCCGCGATGATCTGCGCCCCCCCAAAGGCCATGAACAGGCTGTAGGTGCCCGAGGAGTATGTGGGCAGCAGGGAGGCCAGGTAGCCCTTGAGCATGTTCCACTGGTCGTCGGTCAGCGGCTCCAGGGCGTCGTGCAGCGAGGGGTCGGCCGAGGCCAGGTAGGCCAGGTTGGTGGCGCGGGTGAGCAGCAGGAAGCGCGTGACAAAGGCCTGGGCGGCGGGGTCGATGCCGCTGCAGGGAGGAGAGGGGAGGCGGCAAGGCAGAGGGCGGCGCGGGTGGGCGGTGCGAGCGCGAGCGGCAGCTTGCGGCGGCGGGCGAGGCGGCAGGCAGGCAGCCACCAGCAGCAGCCCCCACTTCCGTACACCGCTCCTGCCACAGGGTGCCGCCACCCCCGCAGGCCCGGCCCCGCGGCAGCGCCCCCCCACGGCAGCCCGCGCACGCTGGGGAGGTGGTGCCGATGGCGGCGCTGAGCCAGGCACCGGCCGCCCCCAGCGGCAGGTCGAAGCCCAGGCCGGCAAAGGCTGTGGGGGGCACGGGGTCGGGCGCCGAGGTGGCTGCCTGCAGGGCTGTGGAGATGAAGTAGCAGAGCTCTGGGGCATAGGTGATGCCCTGAGGGTCGCTGGCGTTGGTGGGCAGGAAGAAGTCGGTGTCAGAGGTGAGCGCCTGCGGGGCGCACAGGAGGCGGGGGTGGGCACGCACAGCGTGCTCGACTGTGGTGGTGGTGCGGGGGGGTTTGAGTGCGGCTGGAAGAGCACATGGCGGGCATGCCGAGGGGCGGCAGGCAGCTGCCGGAACGGCAGGGATGACGCCATGCTGGCCGGCTGGCCAGCATCCGCGACGGCGGCGGGTGAGGAGCGCTCCTGCCTAGGCCCTCGCTCCCAGCTCCACACCCGCAACCGCCCACACCCCTGGCACCCCGCCGCCGCCCACCCGCATCATGCCGCAGTTGACCCACTGCCTCAGCGCGTCGCCCGCGGGGTCCAGGCTGCCCAGCGCCACGGCCGCGCCATACAGGCGCCCCGCCACGTCAGCGAGCGTCATCGGCATGAGGATGACCTTGACCTGCGGCCAGGGAGCCAGGGAGAGGTGGCTGGCAGAGGAGGCACCACGCGGCTGTGGCGACGTCGCAGCCCGGACGCGCTTGCAGGCGCACATCCGCCGCCCCCCTGCCCAGTCGCATGGCGACGGCCGGCACGCGGCATGGCACAGTGGGGTGGAAGCGGAGGCGGAGGCAGCGGGCTTCAGAACAACACCCGCCAGCCACCACCAGCACCAGCACCAGGCTCCGCCACCAGCACCAGCCTCCGCCACCACTCGCGCCCGCCCACCTGCTCCTCTGGCAGCGCCGGCGGCTCGTCTGGGTTGCTCAGCGCCGCCGTCATCCTGCGCATGGCCGTGTAGAATTGGATGTAGCCCCTGCAGGCAGCAGCACAGCGCACGGGGGGGGCAGCAGGTGGGCAGCCTGCAGCCTGCCCGCGGCGCGCTGTCACCTCCGCCTCGTGGCATGACGCCTGGCGGAAGAGCGGGCCTGCCGCTGTCACAGCGCGGCGCCCCCCCTGCGCGCGCGCCTGTTGATGACTGTCAGGGTGTCGCTCATCGTGCATGTGGGGCAGCTGTTGTCGGGGTCAAAAGTGTCCCAGGTGTGGTAGGTGAAGGCCACCTGTGCATACCCAGCCAGCCAGCAGAGGAGCTCACAGGCACACGCGGCGGCGGCGGCAACGCAAGCCAGGCCGGCGATGGGAGGCTGGCAGGCTGGCATCCAGGTAGGCATCCAGGCTGGCAGGCAGGCAGGCAGGCGGGCTCCATCGTGTGTACCCGGCAGGGGCCTGCACTGAGCGCGTGCAGGCGGCGCTCGGCCCCGCTCCCGCCCGCTTGCCCCCCAACCCCCACCCCCACCCCCCCACCACACCCACCTGGTTCCAGTCCTTGGTGTAGTTGACATTGTAGCGCGTCTCCAGGGACACAAAGGAGTAGGGGCCCACCTCCACGGTGGAAGGGGGAGCCGTGCCCGCCAGCCACTGTGGCAGGGGGCAGGCGGGGCGCGCATTGGCGCGGGCAGCCAGCCGGCCCTGCCCCCCCAGGAAGCCCCCGGGATCCGCGCGGCCACCACCGCCAGCAGTCCCACGCATGCATGCAGATGCACTCCCACACACACAGCCCCTCCTCCCCACCGCACCGCACCCCACCCCACCCACCTCGTCCACGTTTGTGATGTTGTGGAAGTAGTAGCGCGAGCGCACGCCCGCGTCCTCGCACGTCTGCACCGCCAGGCGGTGGTCGAAGCAGTCGGTGCGGGAGGTGATGACCTGCATGCGGCGGGGGAGGGGCGGGCGGAAGCGGTGGTGGGTGTCGGGGTGGCGTGCTGGCAGCTGTGCAAGCCGTGGAGGGCGGCCCTGGTGACCACCAGGGCTCCCAGGCCTCCACGCACAGTGGCCCCAGGTCCCGACCGGTCCCCGGCCTCGCCAGCTGCACGCTTCCCGCTCCCGCTGCCACCTCTAGCGCCGCCGCCACCCACCGCCGCCACCCTGCCCCCACCTGGATGTTGGAGAGCAGCAGCTGGATCATGGGGTCGGCCACAAAGATGCCCACCAGGGGTCCCACCCACCACGCACAGCCCGCCGTCACCACCACCATTGCCAGGAAGAAGCGTTTTTTGCACTTGTGCTCGCCGGGGCGCATGTAGCTCCTGCGGGGGCGAGCCAAGGGGTGGGGAAGCGGGCAGACACGGCAAGGCGAGCGGGCAGGGGGCTGGCAGGGCAGGAGCTGCGGGGCCGGGCGCGCTCACGAGACCAGCGGGTTGACGCCGCCGTTCAGGGGCTCCTCGCCGCTGGCCAGCTCCTCCTCGTCCTCGTCGATGAAGTAGGGCCTGAGGGCCGTCTTGATGCGCTTCAGCGAGGTCTGGGCGCGCGAGAAGGAGTGCTTGCACCTGTCCCGCCAGCTGGAGGCGCCGCCGGCCGCCGCGCCGCCGTCGCTGTCGCCGCTGATGGCGCCATTCTCCCCCTGGTCCACCAGCTGCTGGAGCGGGATCTTGGCCCCGCCCTCCATCGCCGATGCAGCCTGCACGAGAGAGGAGGTGGTGGGCACATGGTGCCTTGGACGGTCGCCTCGTCCTTCGTGGGCAAAAGAGGGGCGCGCTGAGCCCCTCCACCAATGATCGAGCCCTTCGATAGTTCCAATTGGGCCTCAACGACACCTGCGCACGTCTCGGCGGTCCACTGCCCACCTAACGCAAGTCAGTCCTGGCGCTCTTAGACCTCCTGCCAATGACAGTCCGGCCGCACTAGCTGCCTGCGGGCCTTGTTGCTGCGGTTCACCGGCGCTGGACGTTTCAGCCCGGCGCATCGTGCTGTGAGTGCTGTGGGGTCTCAAGTGCTGTGGGCAAGAGGGCCGGGAAGGCAACTCGATTGCATTGCATTTTTCGCTCCACTGGCTGGCACGTCCCGGCATGAATCAGCATCAGGGGTCCCAGGATGATGAGGAGCTCCTCCTCACCTCGCTCGACAGCAGCAGGTCCACCCTTGAGCAGGAGACCACCGTGGTGCTGGACCTGGCACCTTCGACGCCGCTGTGGGCCTATGCGCTGCTGATAGCCGCGGTGAGGGGCTGCCTCTTGCTGCCGCCGCCGCCGGCGCCGCCGCCGCCGCCGCCGCTATGGTGCTGCGCATTCCACCTCTCCATCGCTCCTTCTCCAACACCCACCACCGCCACACCCAACTCCGCAGGTGTTTGCCGTGTCGTCGGCGGCTGTGACGTTTGCCATGATTGCAGAGGTGCCGCCCATCACGCTCGCCGCCTGGCGCCTGCAGCTGACCTCGATCGTTCTTGGCATTGGAGGGGGGGTGCAGTACCGCGGCATGCCCCCCGCAGACCGACACCGCATGCTGCAGGAGGTGAGCTGTAAGCACGCGTGTTTGAAACGTGACGTTACGGGGGAGATGGGCAGGGGGGCGGCAGCAGGCCGTACCGCTCCTGGAGGAGGCGCGCTTGGCTTCACCCGCCCCCGCTCTGCCTGCCGCCGCCTGCCGCCTTGCCCTGCCGCAGGCGCGGCTGCTGGCCGCCAGCGGCACCTGCCTGTGCTTCCACTTTGGCCTGTGGGTCCTCAGCGTCGAGACAACCAGCCTGGCCCACTCCCTGCTCTTTGTGTCGGCCACGCCGCTGTTCCTGGCGGGCGGCGCCTGGCTGCTGCGCCAGCCCATCTCTGCGGGGGAGCTGGCGGGCGCCGGCCTGGGGCTGCTGGGCGCTGTGCTGCTGGCCACCGCCGCCGCACGGTCGGACGCGCAGGTGAGGCAGCGGCGGCAGCAGGGAGGGAGCTTCTCCCGTGAGCTACCGCGCGCTATCCAGCCCCTCATCGGTGCCTGCCGCCCCCTCTGCTGGTGGCGACGCCGGCCGACTCTGTTGGCGGGCGCACCCTGCCACCGGTGCGCCGTGTGCGGCCCCTGCTGCAGGTGACGGTGGGAGGGGACCTGGCGGCGCTGGCTGCCTCCCTCTGCTTCGTGGGATACCTGCTGGTGGGGCAGCGCCTGCGCAAGTGGATGCCTGCCTTTGTGTACGCCTTCAGGTGGGGACGGGGTGGGGTGCAGTAGGCCCGGAGCAGGGGTGGGGCGCAGCAGGCAGGGCCCTCCCTCCTCGCCAGACACTCGCTCGCTCCACATGCCATGTGCCCCCCTGCCAGCTGCTGCCCACCCACCAGCCCATGGCCTGCTCACCATGCCGCCGCTGCTGCTGCTCGCAGCGTGACGTCGCTGGCGGCGCTGCTGCTGACGCTGGGGGCGCTGCTGTTTGAAGGCGCCAGCCTGGCGGCCGCCGGCATGCACGGCGTGTTTGGCTGGGCCGCCTCGCCTCACTACCTGCCCTACGTTTTGTACCTGGCCCTGGGGCCGGGCATCGTGGGCCACACAGGCGAGCCAGACCGCTGCCGCTGTGCCAAGCTGTGGGCTATGCATGGCGAGGGCTTCGCATGGGCAACCAGCGGGCCTGGCATGCGCATCTAGCGCGCAGGTGCCCGTTTGAGAAGAAAGCCGCCGGGCATGCTGCGCCTGGCGATGCGCTGGTCGCTGTGCAGGCCTCCATGCCATGCCATGCCGCCCGCCGACCCGCCTTCTTGCCCACCTTCTTCACGCGTGCCCGCAGGCTTCAACACGCTGCTGCGCTACATGGACCCCCTGCTCATCTCCCTGGCCTGCAACATGGAGCCGCTGATTGGCAGCCTGCTGGGCTGGGCGCTGGGCCTGGTTGCGCCCCCAGGGGCCTGGACGTACGTGGGCGGCGGCCTGGTGCTCGCCTCCACCTGCGTCGTCTCCCTGGCCTCCCACTGCCGCGAGAAGCGGCAGGCGGCGGCGGACAAGGGCGGCGGGGCGGCAACCCCCGCGCTAGGCGGGAGCCGGGGGCTGGGACACGCGGCAGCGGCGCCGCCGGCGGAAGGGGGTGGTGAGCTGCTGGGCCTGCGAGCAGCGCACGGCGATAGCCCGAGTGGCGGGCCGCGGAGCAAGGCACCTGCTGCCGCGCCAGCCGGGCCGCCGCCCAGCGCAGTTTGAGGATGTTCCACACTTATTGTTCAAGTACTTTCTGTTTGTGAACTGCCAGCATTATTTCTGTGTACCTCAGCCCTGGATGACCCACGCCTCTTGTACAAACGCAGCATACTGCGACATATGTTGCTACCTGTAGACCATGCCTCTCTCTTCTGCCATCCCCTCTCCGCCGTGATGCATTGCAAACAAGTTACAAGTTGTGAGTTCAGTACTGGTAAGCAGCAATGAAGATGGAGCGTAGCAGCGCAGAGAGGGGGAGCAACAGGAGGGGCAGCGCGGGGACGACGGCACAAGGTGGGGTGGGCAAAACTGGCAAGTGCAAAGAACAGCAGGCGTGCGTGGGGGGGGGTCAAGGGCAGGCATCGGGGCGGCAGAGGCGACAGCGTGTGTGCGCAGCGCATGGCTCGCCCTCACACACGCTTGGCGCCCTCGTTGTCCAGCCGCACCACCTTGGCTGAGTTGACCTCCAGCCCTCCCGCCGCCTTGAAGGCGCCCACCATCGCCTCCTTCACCCGCTGCCCCACCTCGGGGTCCGACACAATGGCCACCGCGGTGGGCCCCGCGCCGCTGATGGTGCACCCAAACGCGCCTGCGGGCAGGCGGGCGCCAGGTGCTTGGCGGGCGTCTGGAGCGGCGACGCCTCGGTGTCGCGCCGGGGCCGCTCCCCCCCCGCAGCCCCAGCTCCACTCGCTGCCCGCGCCTTGAGGTGCCATGTGCGGCGGCCGTGCCGGTCCACACACACACACACATCCACACACGCCAGCCACCCCCGCGCCGCCCCTCCCCAGCGCGGGCCCCACGCCGCCCCCCGCCGCGCCGCCCACCTGCCGCACGCGCCGCCTCCTTCACCGCCTGGAAGCCGGGTATGAGGGGCCCGCGCACCGGCTCCACGATGGCGTCCGAGTCCAGGGCCCTGCCGATGAGCGCCGCATCCCCGCCCAGGATGCCCGCCACCAGGGACCCGCCCATGGCGCAGTTGTTGACGACCTGGGTGGGGTGGGGTGGGGGTGGGGTGAGGCAGAGGGAGAGTGTGTGTGTGCGTGCACGAGGGGAGCGTGAGGTGTGGCGCTGTCGGCTGCCGCCACATGCAGCCCTTCTCCCACACACACACACACCACACACACCTGCTTCATTGGTATCTCCTTGGGCAGCACCGCCCGCATCTCCGAGGTGGGCGCCTCAAACCGCGGGTTGACCAGCACAAACCACAGGTCGCCGGCAAAGGGCAGGCGCTGCAGGTCCAGCGGGTCGCAGCTCCTGCGCGCCAAGGGTGCAGGTGGTGGGGGACGGTGGTGGTGGTGGTTGGCGGCGGGGGTGGCGGGGGCTAGAAACAGACAGAAGCAGCACCAGACGGGCAGCAGCCAAAGCAGCAGCGGCGGCGGCAGGATGAGCAGCAGCGGCGGCATGGGATCCTCCAGA